TTGATTCACATTGGGCGAGATCCATTAGATCGATTACTGAGAAGAGCTGTTAGGGCTGAGTGCTCAGTTCGCAGCATAAAACGACCACCGAAGAGAAATACACGCCACGTTTCACAGGCCCACACACATGCAAATGCTTCTCTTTCTCCAACTGAATAATGACGTTCGGAATCTGATAGCTTTCGTGATGCGTAGGCAATAACGTTCTCCTCTCCGTTTTATATTTTTGAAAGGAGAGCTCCGAGACCGACATGAGACACAAAGGTGCGGTAAGGTTCATCAAAAATGACAATCAAGGGAGCAGACGCAACTCCCCCTTTTAGTTCTCCAAAGGCATTTTGCTGATCGCTGCTCCAAACGAACGACGATCCTTTCTTTGTTAGCTGTCGTAATGGATCTGCCACAGTTACAAAATCCAGTAGATAGCGCAGGTTATAAGAGCACATCCCTCAAAAGGAATTAAGTTCTGTCAAGTTTTTGGGTGTTGGCACTTCAAAGATGGCCTAAATATTTTCAGCACTTGGTCTAATGCCAATGCGGGAAATGACGTGTCCCAAAAACTGAATTTCTGGTGCATTGAAATGACAATTTTCTGCGTTCAGACGTAAATTGAGATCACTGAGGCGCTGGAGGACTTTGTGTAGCCTTTCATCATGTTCTTCCTGTGAGCGGCCGAAAATACCAAAAGCATCCATGTAGGCAACCTGTCCATCGATACCTGTCAGGGCTTGAGTCATGAACTTTTGCCAGGCGGCGGGCGCGGAATTCAAACCCATGGGTAAGACTTTGTACTGAAATAGCCATCAGGAGCAAGGGAGGCAGTTAGGTGTTTGGAATCATCGGCCAATGGCTTATGGAAACATGCACATTCATATCTAGCTTGAAAAACAGTTGCACCAGCTAAACGTACAGTGAGTTCATCATTAGATGGCAAAACAAAGCGCTCTACGACGATCTGGTTGTTCAGGGCCTGCAAATCGTTGCATATCCGGACAATGCCGTCTTTTTTCATGACACTAACCATTGGATGCACCCACTCAGAGCATTCGATGGGTTCAAGCAAATCATTTGATAGCGTCGCTTGCAGGGCCGCTGAGACCGCTTCACGTTTCGCTAGCGGAATAGTCGAAGTTGACGATTGGCGACCGTTTTCGCTTTCGGTTTCAGCTGAATTCGATGCACACCACCTAGAACACGGCCGATGGACTTCTGGTAGAGCTTCTGATAATGTTCCTGCCAGGGTGCTACGTTGACTGAAGAGATAAGAGAGGGTACAAGGTGCAAAGCCAACTTAGCATTCCTCCCAAGCAAGGGTCGTCTGTTGTCCGAAGGAATATACACCGCGACATCGGCAATCACAGCGTGCAACTGCAAAGGCACGATAATAAATCCCAATATGGTTAGTGTGTTCCCACCATAACTCCGAAATGAATGTGAGGTGGGATGTAAAGTATGCTGTGATAAGGAACATGCATAAAATTGGAAAGGCGCGATAGTGACTGGAGAAGCAGAATCAAGTCCCATTTCCAATGGAACAGCATCTTTAACAGTAAGGAACAATACAGTACGAATGTCAGCAGCGGGAAACTTCGGTTCAACAACGGATATGGTTACACAACCTGAAGGTATGGAGTCAGCGGTGATTGAATAGATATTGTCTTGAGTTGGATCGGTAATATGGCATTCCGGTGTATCATCATCTTTAATGAGTGCGACAGCCTGCGATCGACAACAGCGGGCATAGTGACCAATTTTATCACAGTTTTTACATTTGAGGCTGCGTGCGGGACAACCGGCAAAATTAGCTTTGTGAGACGTGCTCCCACAACGATAGCAAGAAATTTTGTCTGTCGGACGTTGCCGAAAAGATTGTACTCTCGCCACTTCAGCTAAGCTGGTGGAACAAAATTGCTTCGATTGCAATGAATATTCTGTCTTTACTCGGGCTAATTCGCAAGCTCGATCCCACGTTAGTGTATAAGTGTCTTCCTGCAATAGCGCCTTACGTATGCGATTGTCAGCGATTCCAATGATCAGTTGCTGAGTGAGCATACAGCCTTCAATGTTTTCTGTGGAATAGACGAGTAGGCACACGGTCGTACTGCACGACTCAGCCGAGCAACGAAATCATTCAAGGGTTCGCCTGCTTCTTGGTGTACTCGGGAGAAAATATATCGCGCGGTAAACACGTTCATTTGGTAACTCCATGCACGATCGACAGCATTGAACGCGTCTATAACCGATTTGCATCTCTGGAGACCCGAATCATCATGGAATTGCTGCTGCCCCTCATCTCCGAGTAGATGTGGAAGCAGCTTCCATCTTTTATCCTCACTAAGAGCAGTAGGGAGATCGCTGATTAAATCCAAGTAGTTTAGGAAGGATGTTTTCCAACCGAACCAGGCATCCGATGTTGGTCTGCTGCCGCAATCAGTAAAAAAAGGAGATGGTGGTTGGATGGAAAGGTTCATATTTGCTTCCGCTACGCCACAATGTTGTTTCAAGAAAGTCGCAGGACAGGTAGAAAATCTATCTCGTAAATTAACCAAGTACAACTGAATCAATCCCTTGTTAAACGGAGAGTCAAGCGACAGACTCACAACCAATAGCAAGTTAGGAATGAGTCAGCAAGTCAAACAATGAGATTGAGCCAATCGATGTTGCTGACATGGTTACCACAATCTCCTTCACCAAAAAATGAACCTGCATAAGGCCTCTCTAAGACGATCACAAATTGAGCTCAGGGATGAAAAGAAGACGTACACCTAAGCCGCGTTTCAGCGTTACGCGATTTGTGCTTGACTACTGTTACAACAAAACGAGCAGGAAAGCTTTTAATATAAAAAACGTGAGGAACGCAAAAAACACGAGCTGTCATTAGCTGAACTTTCTAGAACTACCTCCAAGGCACTCTTCTCATATCTCAGCCGAAGCACCGAAGCTGGCAGTGGTGTCTGCCTTGTCTTCCTGTGAACCATTAAACCTTATTTAGGAGGACGTTGAGAAAGCTAGGCTTTTGGCACAGCAATCTTCCTCTGTCCACTCAACAGAAACGCCACTCACGAATAGCGTTGCTCCCACTCCTTCTTTCCTGTTGGGCACTTGGATGTTAACGCTGACTTAATGAATGGTCCGCATAACCTAGACCCGTATTCCTCGATTGGTCCTGATGGTTTAGACCCATCGTTCCTTTTGACCGTGGCTGGGTACATTGCTGCTCCAGTCTGTCAAATCTTCCGACATTACGTTGAGGTCGGGCAGCTACCGACTACCTGCAACTTGGGAGTCGTTATATCTACTTACAAAGGAGGGAGCCGACAGGATCCGACCAGCTATCGTCTCATCTGTCTGACTTCGATTTTGTGCGAAGTCATGGAATGGATGCTGAAACGGGCCTTTCGTCTTCATCTCGATGAGTTGGGGTAAATCTCTCACGCCCAGCATAGTTTTCGAAAGACGCGTTCATGCCCCACAAATTTGCTGGTGAAAAGGGAAAATGGGCAAGCTTCTTATATGCTGGTAAGCGCATAGACGCTGTGATTGCTCCTTCCAGTAAGACTTTTGATATTGTTCCACATATGCGGCTCCTCTTCAAACTCCGGGGAATCGGCATCACTGGCACTTTTCTTTCTTGGGTCTCCGATTACCTGGTCGGTCGCTCCATGCAAGTTAAATTGAACCTAGAGCGTGCTGATCAAGTTCTCATGACCTGTGGGATCCAACAGGGTTCTTACTCGGCTCCGAACGCTTAACTAGCCTTAGCAACGACCTGCCATCCGAACTGCAGACCGATTGCTTAATCTACGCGGATGATCTGAAGCTGTGAATTGAAACACCCAGTCTGGAAAATGCGGGCAGATTTCAAGTGACACTGGAACTGCTTCACTATTAATCAATAAAGTGGCGGTTGCCCATGAACAGTGACATATGCGACGTACCCGAGCCTATTGGGGCTTACCATATCGAGGGTTTCTTGCTCAGAAATGTCAACCAAGCGAGGGATCACAAGGTTATTGGGTTTCCTGATCGCAAGTCAATCGAGGACACCCGGAGGAGAGTCGCCTCCGCCTACAGATTGCTTCACGCCATCCGGAGAGCCCGCTCACGATTGACCCCAGCACACTTCGGACTACTGTTCGCTTCGCATGTACCCAATCCTCGAGTACGGATTGTCTGTTGCGAATTCTCTCCCCAAGTCCAGACGTCACATGATCCAAAAGGTTCAACAGCGTGGGTCCAAATACGCTCTACAAATGCTAGACTTGAATTTCTTCTCTCTCTCTTGAATTTCTTCCCGTTGGATTATTGTCATCGCCGCGGAGACATGGTATTCACGACTTATTCTAAGAGGTAAGCTGGGGAGTGAGTTACAACACTGGTTCCGTGTCAACACAAAGTGTGTAAACCGGGGGCACTGGTGGAAACGTTTCAAACCGCGGCGACTCCGTGGGCGGTCCGATCTGGTCCTATCCACTCGGGCAGTGAATGACTAGAACTGCGTGCCGGAGGACCTCATCCACGCGGACTGTTGGATTCACACTATCGGATTGCGCAGGGATTCCGCTGCACCCAAAAGCCTACAGGAGTCTTCTGCGGAAAGCTGTTTCCCAATGCTCGCAGTAACCTTCGTGAATTGACGGTGCACTGCTCTCTAAGAACCAAGGAACCAAGGAACCAATGAAAAGCATATAAACGTTGTGTATAAATAATTTACCCAGACGAGTTATTCACGCCGTAACATGGATTCGTGGCTGAAGCACGCTTTCGCCATAAATAAGCATCACTTTCTTGGAGCCTTGCTGGGTGGGGAGTTCTTGCTACATCCTATTGGCAGCATACTGACATGGTGCTCATTACCGTTTGAACCTTCAATAATATAAGTTCCACCTTATTTGGCTGCCACAACTGGTAAAACAATTATTGGATACCGTGTTTTTATTGTTTCACGATATAGTGTTTTAAGACTAATGACGGGAAGCGGCGCGCCGGTTTCTTTACAAGGTCACCTGATGGATATCCGTCCTTGATACGCGTAAGTTATGGACATAACGTTAGTACGAGCGCATCCGCACATGTGAAATGTTTATCGTTTTTATTCCGCGCCTTTTAATTTTAAGCTTGTTATCTCTGCCTGCGTTTGGCACAAGTGTTCTCGATTATCTCGCATGTGAGGCCTGTTCTTGAGTATGACTTATCGGCTGTTTACCCTCACACGAGGTTTGAATGCAATATACGTGAAAGAAGACAGTGGCGTGGTTCGAAATTGGTCTCGGCGTTATGTGATCTCCCCTACCTTGCTCGTATACAACTGACAAATCTGTTCTCTTTGGAGTATTGTCTTTGTCGGGGAGACCTCATTTACACTAGGCGTATTCTTAGGGGAGAATTGGGGACCGAGTTGCAACAATTCTTCCAGGTTACCATTGAGAGCTCTACGCAAGGACACAATTAGAAGCTGTTTAACCCGAGGAGCCTCCTTATCCGTCCGGAGATCACTCTATCCACTTGGGTAGTGAATGATTGAAACTCTGCCGGAGCCTATTGTCAAGGCATCAAGTGAGGAGTTGTAAGCTGTTAAATCTCCATTTACTGCGTATGCGTAAGTCCGGATGACTATGCTGCTGGCGTGTCGGTCTAATGGATCGAAGGTGCTGTTTCAGACGCTCAGCATAGAACGTTGGATTCAATTCTCCGGTGGCTCTGAAATCAAGTATAATCTCGACTGGAAGTCTTGAGGGCTGTGTCGCAAACAGGTACGGCTCGGCCGCATTTGAAATCTTCTTTGACGGTATTGCATATGCCATGAATAATAACCGGTAGGCCTTCAGACCAACGGACATAAGGCGAACTAGCTGTAGTGACGGCTTTTAGTTGTCAATGAAATCATTCGGCAAGGTCATTGTCAACAACATGATGGACCGTCGTCTGAGTACAGCCAGAAAATCAGCTCAGTTCACTAATCAAGGTGAAACTGAATTGTGATCCTCTGTCGATAGCGACATTGGCTGACACACCGAACAATAAAATCGTTAATTCGACGAAAGAACGAGCAACAGTTTCCGCAGGGATATCATGTAACGGGATCGCATGGGGCTAACGAGTAAATCGGTAAACACACCTCAATAGATAGGTGCAACTGTTCGTAGCGGACAACAATCCTACTACATCAGCATGAACGTGTTTATATCTTTCCTCAAGGAGTGAGAAATTACAAGCAGTGGTGACAATGTGTCCATACACCTTGTTGCTTTGGCAATTAAGTAGGTTTTCGGCCCATTGTCGGATGTCGGTGGCATATTGTGCCATATGTAACAGTCGGTGATGCAGTAACTCGAATACTGGGGTGCGGTAATCCATGGAGCTCATCAAAAACCACTCACCGATAGGACTGTGGAACAAAAGCTCTCGTTTTACCGGTGGATCACCGCGACGAGACTGAACCTTAACCTGGTGCGATGGTTTATGTGTCTCACTGATCCATTGAGCTATGCTGGGTGGTGCTTTTGTACCTTCAGAACCACTCATGCGACATTGGTCAATAGTTAGGAGCCAGACGAACTCAGTTTCCTGACCCTCCAGGTTAGGGGTTGAAGTGAGAGTGGCTCCTTATTCAATACAACGGATTCTCTGTACTCCACTGCCGAAACCGCGCTGCTTTGCGGTCAGCTTTTTGAACCAAAGGCTTTGCTTGAGAATCCTAATCGTTCTCCTGTCTAGATCTGGGCAATCTGACAGTATCCAACCCACGCAATACAACATAATGACTTTAACCTCATGTACTTTATTGATCTGGCCGTCACAGAGGATACTAAGCGGCGTCCTATTTGCTGTATCGAGCAGGTTGGATAGGAGTTTGGGTTCTCAGGCCTTCGTTTTCTTCTCCCAACACCTGCACTTTTTTATCTTTATTGTCCCGCCCCAGTACCTTTATCCCCCCTGTTTCTAGTCCCCGAATTCTTGGCTCCCCGTCTTATTTAAATAGTCGCTTGTCTTCTACTTTCCACTCAGTCGCAGGGCGTCGTTATAGTGCAGTTGAAAAGCCCATGTTCAACCAAACGGACAACGCCAGCTCATCTGCTTCTATTTGGAGTCCTCGATCTTCACTAAGAGTGGCATGCTTTAATGTGCACAGTTTGTTGCAAATTGGTCAACAAGCAGCACTTGCCTGAACACCAGAGACCCTATCGATTGTGATATGCTGCTTATCAGAAATTTGCCCACATGATTCGGGTTCTGTGATTACCTTATGATCCCTAACGTGCGACCTTAGCGGTATTTTCACTTTGTCCGGAGATGACGCTGCTTAAAGTGACGGTCAAGCTGGTGGGAGCATTACTCTTAGCGTTCGGGCTGAAGTTGCCCTGATCGATTGAACCCCGTTGAACAGCCAAATGTGCGCTGTCAAGTCGGCTGGCTCGTCCAAAACACCGAACTCACATGGGGACAGGCATCAGCAGTTTGCGGGTACACAGTACCGACGCCTCGCGGTCACGCAACCACGACCAGATACACGTGAGCTAAGGATACTATGAGGATCGAACCCCAGCTCTCAGATTACAAGGCAGGCTTGTAATCCTAAGGCCACGGCGCTTGTTTGTTATTGCGGCCTACGCCCACACAAACTGTAGTATTGATTCCGTGAAAGATGATTTTATCACCAACTTAACCATCTTCTTTCCAGGAAAATACGCTTACTGTGGTACTTGCTGATGATTTGAACGCTCAAGTCAGAAACTTGTCTTCTGATGATCTTTATCTTGGCGGTGAACACAGTATAGGCTGCCATAATAACGGTTGGCGGTTGCTGCATCTGTATGACGATGCTCGTCTCTTTCTTGCGAGCACTTCTGACACAGCACCCGCAGAAGAGTAACATGGCCCCCACCAGACATGGACGCAAATCGATCACCTCGCGATCATTTACTGCTAGAGAGACTGCGTCCAAAGCTGTCGCTCGATTTGAAGAACGAGCGTGCGCTCTGATCACGCTGTTGTGTGTGCCGACCTGCGGGTGCGTTTCCTTGGACGTTCGCAACGTCGCTCTGAGCGCATAGACGAGCCAACTGGCGAAGTCAGGCATTCTGAATACGTACCAAGGTACGCTGAAACCCGGGCTGAGTAAGCTCCCACTGAACACATCTGAAGATCACTGGTTGCATATCCGCCTGACGATACTATCAGCAGGCATGACTTCATTTGGCATATCAAATTGCCAACTTGGACATTGGGTCTCGATCTAATCTATAGAACTTATAGATGTTCACCAACGCATTCTGACTGCAAGTGAAGGTAATGAGACTAAAACTCCTTACGACGAAACTGCGTGCTAGCCTGAAGAGAGACCGCGAAGCCTGGTGGTGTCATCGTGTATCGGAAATGGAGACACTCGCTACCATTGGTAACCATCGTAACTTATTCCATAGGATACCGGAAACGGGCAACATGAGACCTGGTGTTAACGAGACCATCACCGTCAAAACTAACATCAATACATAAGCCATTTGGACTGACAGCTGCCATCTAACCATCACGAACTACAGAACTAAACATAATAAGAGGAGAGAAGGGGGACTTAAATGCGCTAAGCAAACATTCAGGGTCAAAGCTCCTTGACCTTAACAACAACATACCGTCGAAAACAGCTGGCTGTGGTGCGAAGATAGGGCGATATTGGCGAGACAGCTTCCTTCCGGCTTTCACTGCACCGCGTCGTACTCAGCCATTGCCCCGCAGATAACTGAGCACCAACACTTTAAATAGGCAGTCCGACTAGGAAACGGCCGCAGACGCGCCGCTGGTGTGGACTGCGAACCATGTCCTGTAAAGTCTCGAGCCAGACACAAGAGAGTGGGAGTCACGTGCGCTCCAGCCTGGAAGGCGAGACGGACCGGCAATGCCAACTTTAGTCATCAGCCGCTATATTTCCCGATGCCTAGCTGACTTCTGTCTAACACGGACCATACGCCACCCTACATCTGGCAGCCAGAACAAGGTGTTCCTCGGTAAATAGTGACCAGGCGTAGATAGTACGTCCCCAAGCGAACGCAACTTATTCAGTGCTATTTGTTGTTTTAAGGAACTAGCTTGATTATCCCTGCGTAGCACTTGCCTGCGCACATCATCGTAGCGGACACGCTGGTGCCATCGGACACCAGCAATACTTTGCAACGATGATCAAAGACTTGAAGGCGCCTCAGACCGAAGGGGCTAAGTGTCCCTCCTATAAAATAGGACGGTTATCACTTTGGCCTTGTAAACACGGCCTTTCAAACCGGGGGAAACCCCTTTCTGTTGCCAAAGCTGTCGCAGATTCAAGAAGGCAGTTCTGGCTTTTGCAATACGTGAACTGACTTCAGTTTCTACGGGCCCATCGTTGCTGATGCAGCTGTCAAGTTAAATGAATTGATCAAGTACCTCGAGTTCCTCGCTACCTAAGACTATATATGGTTTTGCGTAGTAATTTTTTTGGGATGCACAATAGACGGCTGATAGCTTACCGGAACGATGCTCATCCGTTACCGGTAGCTCAGCTGGCTTGCATCAGTTGCATTTTTTCTCCTTTTTTCTATGTACTGCGGCACAGTAGCGGAGGTGTTTGCCACCTCTAGCTAACGTGTATGATGATGATGATGATCTAGAGTCAAGTGCTCATCAAGTGGCTGGTGGCCTTGCAGCAACACTGCATTTTGCAAGTGTGAAGCGCATGCCTATGATGTGACCACTCTAGCGAGGCTATTTAGAGTTGACTGTGCTGCCGCAGCATCGTTAAACAGCAAGACGATACCATCCGCATAATCAAGATCAGCTAGCCTTTCACCAGGCAGGACCTCAACGTTTGCATCGTGAGATTCCGCAAAGGAACACTCCATAATGGAGTCCACAACGAAGATGGCCACAAATGGGGAAATTGGACAATTCAAACGAATGCCACTTGTTGTCGGAAAGCTATGCGATAAGTCACCGTAGATCCTGGTGTGGCCTGTGGTGTTCGAGTACGGCGCACATGTAATACCCACCTATTTCATGGGAGCA